AACTGATGAGCAAAGACTTCTTGTCATATGTTAGATGAAATTGATTTTGGTGTATTTGCAATTTTCAGTGTTCTCTTAAAAATAAGATTGATCTCTTGCAAAAGGTAAGGGAACCAAGGGATGGAAGGAGGGGAAGAGTAGGGAGGGGAAGGAGATGCAGAAAGAATTAAGATGTGTTATGTACCTGTAGCAATACAATTATTACATATTACAGAAATGTACTGATAAAATTTTTTAAAGATGAGATTGAACACTTTTTCATATATTTAAGAGCAAGAGTCTTTTAAAATGTGATATGCAGACATAGAGCATCAAATTTAAAAAGGATGGAAAGATTTAACTACATACAAAGTAAAAACAAAGTGAAAAAAACCAGTGATGAACTAGGGTAGGGGAGTTTTTACAGAGCAAGAACCAGTAAATAGTCTTGATATATACTTTTATTAAAAATCAGTAATAAGGGGACAGTATTTTCCAGTTAAAAAATGGGCAAATGGGTAGTTTATGAAGAAATTAAAGTACCCATTAAACTCCTTTAAAATACAACCTTCCACTAGGCAATGAATTGTAAATATAAATGCCTTTGCTATAATTGGTTATTTTTTAAAGTATACATGTGGTACGTCTCCTAAATGAAACTAGGATATTCCATTGTACACATTTAAGTAATTGGTGGTAGTACATGGTAGCATTCCCAGTTTCTTCTCAGCATCTCTTCCCTGCCCCCTTCTCTCCTAATAGACCTGTTGTTTTGGGTCGCAGTTTTATATGTTGCCACGAATTATTCTACAGTTGGGTATGGGCAACAAGAGATTTTCGTGCAGTTACTTACTAAGTACTTTTTCCTTTTGAAGGGGAGATAGGATATCTGCACTTATGTGTTAAAGCCTAGAAAAAGTTGATTTAATTCAGGAGAAATATGTTTTGAATACTTACTCTCATTTGCCGTGTACAGTGATCTATGGTAAGTATTAAAAGATTTTAACTGTATTTTCAAGTAACTCATTAATCTTATCTGTGTCTATGCAAATTAATTTCTCCAGCTTCATTTCTTTTATAGTTTTGTTGTTAGATTTTAAAGCAAGAGGCAGGTAATATGTATTCTGAAAATTTATTCTAGACTTCTATTTATTATTTTCTCATATTTTTGTTATGATATAATTAATATACCACAGCCATTTAAAGTATAAAATTTAAGTTGAGTATGGCAGCTAGGACTCCGAGAGGCTGAGGCCATTCAGTAAGACCCTGTCTCAAAAACAAAAAATTATAAAGGACTGAGATTCAAGCCTAAGTACTGAAAAGACAAGTATAAAATTCATTTCTTTTCAGACAAGGTATCATGATACGATATGGGCTGGCTTTCAATTCATTATGTAGAAGGAGACAGCCTCAAATTCTTTTTTCTTGCCTTAGCCTCAAGAGTGCTAAGATTACAATATTGCACCATTGTGCCTGGCTCAATTTTTCACTTTTTATTAGTTTCAAAGTTATGTAACCATCACTGTAGACAATGTTAGAATATTTTCATGATCCCCAAAAGAAGCTTTATACCCATTAATAGTGACTTCACATAGGAAAATGGATACATTTTGAGGTTGTACTCCTAAGTGAAATAAATAAGTCACACATGTGTAAATACTGAATAGTTTCTCTGGTGCGAAAAACTGTAATGGTACACAAGATCCTAATGAGATAATTAACAATGTGAAATAGGGAGAAAAGGGCTAAAGGTGTAGGGAAAGTGGGAAGGATAGGGGAAAGGTAATAAGGGAAAAGAAAAAAATAAGAGAAAATGAAAAAATGGAAATAAAGTGTTTGTAAATGGGGAGGGGAGGAGGGGGTGAAGGGAGGGCAGGGACAAGGGGGAAAAATGAGAACCAAGACCTGTCATGTAAAGGTACAGGATCCCAACGATGAATGTAACTGTACTGCATACCTAAAATTTACCAATAAACTCAATAAAATGAAAACAAATAGTGACTTCACATTCCTCTCTTCTCCCAATCGCTGGCAACCATTAATTGACTTCCTGTCTCTGAGGTTTCTTTATTACGGACAGTTCATATTAATCAAATCATTTGTGACCAGCTTCTTTCACCTGGCATGTTTTCAATACTTATCCACATTGTAGCATATATCAGTATTTCTTTTTCTTTTTAAGGCAAATAAAAATTCTATTATATGGATATATTACAGTTTTTTCATCCATTCATCAATTAATGGACATTTGGGTTGTTGTCCAATACTGCCATGAATTTTCATGTACAAATTTTTATGTGAATGTTTCATTTCTCTTGTGCATATATTGCTGGATCATATAATAACTACATTTAACCTTTTGAGAAAATGCCAGTTTTCCAAAGAAGCTACACTATTTTACACTCCCATCAGCAGTATATGAGATTTCTAATTTTTCCACATTTTCTTACACTTGATATTATCTGGTTTTTATTTTACTCATCTGAAGTGGTTTTCCATTATGGCCTTGGTTTGCAGTTCTTTGATGACTAATAGCCTTGAGCATGTTTTCAAGTGCTCACTGGCTGTTTTTGTCAACAATTTTGAATCTTTCTGAACATTCTTTTATAGTCACATCTCCCTCTAACCACCACCTGGGAAGGTTCTCTTCTTTAAGAGATTTATGGCATTAGATTTTTCTCACATGGATAATCCTGGATGATCTCAAAATACTTAACTTTAAACCTGTCTGTAAAGTCCTTTTTTTTTTTTTTTTTAGTACTGGGGATTGAACTCTGGTCCTTGCGCTGGTAAAGCAGGCACCGGAACCACTGAGCCAAATCCCTGGCCCTATATAAAGTCCTTTTTGTAAAGTAAGATCATATGTTCACAGGTCCTGGGCATTACAATCTAGTCATCTTTGAGAACTATATCTGAATACCGTACCATAACAATATAAAAAGTCTTTTGATACATAAACATGAAAGTTTTCCATTTATATAGACACCTTTAATTTCTTTCAATTGTGTTTTATATTTTTGGTGTTCAAGTCTTGCAAGTCTCTTGTTAGTTTTTTGATGTTATTCTCTTGGGCAATCATAAATGAAGTTCTAGTCTTATTTTCATGTTTTGATTAGCCATTGCTATAATATAGACAATGTATTATTTTATATCTTTCATTTTGCAACTTTGTTGAACTTGCTTATTTTTCTAATAAATTTTGTATGAATTTCTAGTTTATATTAATGATAATGTTGTCTGTGAGTAGACATAGTTTTACTTCTTCTCTTTCTGTATGGATTCCTTTTATTTTGTTTTTTTCCACCTAATTTTCCTGGCCAAAATTTCCAATGTAGTATTAAAGTGGTAAGAGTAGACATCCTTGTTTTGCTCTTGAAGGTAATGGGAAAATATTCAGCTTTTTACCATTAAGAATGATGTTACTGTGGATTTTTAATGCCTTCTATAATGTTGAAGAAGTTCCTCTTTCTTCCTAGTTTGTTGAGTGTCTTTATCATGAAAAGATGTTGGATTTTTGTCATGTGCTTTTTCTCCTTCTCTTGAGATGATAATGTTTTTTTTTTAATAACAGCATAATTAAGGTATAATTCACATCTTAAAATTCACCCTTTGAACGTGTACAATTTGATGGTTTTTAATAATTACAGAGTGTGCATCTATTACCACTTTGTAATTTGAGAGCATTTTCATTGCTTCAAAAAGAAACCCTGTACCCATTTGCAGTCACTCCCCATTAGCCCTGTCTTCAAGGCCCTAGCAGCCACTGGTATACTTTCTGTGTATGGATTTGCTTATTCTGGATATTTCATATAAAGAGAATCCTGTGATATGTGGCCCTTTGTGTCTGGTTTCTTTCACTTAGCAAATTATTTCCAAGATTCATCCATGTTGTAGCACATAGCAGTACTTACTTGTTCTGACTCAGGACAACTCCTTTCAGCTTTCTTTTTCTCTGACTATCTTAGCAAATTTACGGTTTAAACTCTTGCTCACACGAAGCTCCCTGTCACCGTGAATCGCTTATCACCAAATCTTCATTTTTTTAAATGTGGAAACTTGCAACTTGAACCCCTTTCTATTGTTTCAAATAAAGTCATTTCTTTTGGGAATTGATTGGAAGCTCTCTTATGGACAGCCTTTAACTTGGGGAAAGTCTTGAAGTGAGTACTTTTCTATTTGGGCAGTGAAAATAGCCACTGGCCTTTTTGCTTACCTTGTCAAATGTGGAACTTAGTACTGCAAGTGAGCTGGGGTAAGGTAATCAGCATTCTCAGCCCTTTTTGCCTGAGGTAAAACCTCTGTCCTATGAATGGGGCTGGCTAGAGGAAGCAAGCCTCTGGACTCGTAGCTGTACTCATCAAAATTGGTGTTGGATGCGATGAGTATCCCTTCTAATCTGTATTGGAGCTGATGAGGAATTCTGGTTGCTTGCGCTTCCCACTGAGACACTATATTCCTTGAGGGAGAGGTGGAGGCAGAGGGAATCTAGTCTTCTTGGCTATTCTAACCTGGAATGTAATTTGCATCAAGGTGAGCAAAGGAATGGGGAGTAGGAAGAAGTAGATTGTAGTTCATATGCCATAGACTCTCACTGTTACATTACTGAGTTTTAGCAGGTTTTCCTGAATAAATATTTCATTTGCTCTATGCCCTTAGGACAATTTCCAGCAGTTTCCAACTAAAAAATACTCTGCTAGTTATGGATGTTTCACTAAGAAACAGTTCCATGGAATTTTTTATGCCACAGTTATGGGAGTGGATTCCTTTTCCTACACTGACGTTTTTAGTGAAGTAAAATTTTATGAAGGTAGAAAAAGCCTGGCCTAAGCCATGTGGATGAATTATTTTTTAAATCAATCATTTGATACTTTTACCATTATTTGTTTATTAGCTTTCAAGGTACAGTACTTGCTTTTTCATGCCTTGTTTTTATTTCTCCCTGTGTGAACCTTGTTATAATATTGTTTTACTTTTTAAAAATTACTTTAATGACATATCTTTCTGTTTGCTACTGTGAGTTTTAGGTTTGGCTCCAGCATCTACTGTGGTCACTACCACTACTAGTTCGAGCACCATGCTGTTTACTTCAATATCAGGTGTTTCTACCTCTACAGCTGCTACGGAGCTTTTATGTAAGTTATACTGATTCCAGAAAACAATGTTATTTTAATTTGCCAGTGTAAGCTATAGATCTGTGGATCTCCTGCGTCTCATAAATTATCATTATGTTTGAACTAACTGTTGCTCTCAATAGTAGCTTTGCTTAGAGCTTAATTGTCATAGTTTCAGCTGTAAAGTTTTTTTTTATTAACATGGTTCTTGTAGCTTAAAATGATAAATGTAAACATCTAATTAATTAAGTCTGTGATGTTTTGAAACAACTTCTTTAAGCTATTAAAAATAGGAAGTCAGAGTTTTGGAAAGTGTATCTCAAGGGACAAAGTCTTATTATCCATGTGAAGAAGATAAAGAGGCAAATAAATGCCGGAGACTTGAGATAGTATATTCTTCTATATAGGCCAGGTCTATGGTCTTTACATTTTACCTCTCAAAAATGAAACATAGTGAAGGACCAGCTATATTTTTGGAATTCTAATTGAAACCCATGTGATGTCTCAGGACCTCCACTCTGAAGAAGAATACCTAGATGTTTTGAACTGAGAGGTGGGACATTAATTATCTTGTGATTTCAATTTCTACATTACCATATCTTCCCTTAGGAGACTAATGACATGTTAAAATATTGCATTTTGTCTATATCTTAGGTAATTCTTTATTACAGATGCTTATAAACTGACTGTACCTTTGAGGTATTTTCACAGTGCCTTGATGCTCATTGCTAACCTTTACTGTATTATAATCCTAGCTGTAATGTGGTTCTCCCTAAGTCCTGTGATAACAAAATTTTTGTATTTCTGGGAAATAAACTTGCTAGGGTATTCTGACGCTGAGGTTAGTGTGACTAGTGGCATATAATACTCATTCCCTTGTGCAGTTGGCATAGGCAGATATTAGAAGTGTTGGTTATTACATGAGTTTCATTTTCTATGATTACTTCAATTTTGAGACATGATTGTGATTCTGGAATCCTTTTGAAATATGTAAGAAACATCCTTCTCAACCATAATGAGTTTAATAAGTGTGATTTGATGAATATGACCCTGCTGAGATTTGGAGTTAAATCATTGAATTACATGTAATTCTGTTTAAAAATTTGCCCTCTGATTATTCACAGGTTTTCCCCCCTTCCTGCCTCTGATGTCCTTCCCCACAAAATGAAAAGATACTTGGATCACAGTACATTTCAGTAAACTTTAATGAATTATAACTTGTATATCATAAAATCAACTTATTTTAAATGTTCAAGTCAGTGTACCCAATGTGTACCTGTTACTATTATCTAGTTTTAAGACCTTTCCTTCATTTTGATAAGATCCTTGTAGATCATCACTTATCTATAGATCTGCTTTTTCTAGAATTTCATGATTTTTTTATGAATTACTAATTTTTTTAATTTAAAAGAGTAATAGTTAATACTGTCTTGTCTCTGTAGTTGGTGCTCCGACAATTTCTGCTAGTACACTTGGTGGTATAATCTTGGAATGTGGATTAAAATTCTCTAGAGTTGGTGGAGCAGCTTCTACAACATCTAGTAAGTTTTTGGAAATATTGGGATGTGTTGGGGCACTCATTTGAAATGCCCTACATAACAAACAGTAAACATGTAGTATCTCTATAGCTTCTAGTACTGTCAAAGTGTGTTGTGATTGTCTTATCATAATCTCCAAATAGTATACCAATATAGAAGACTACCAAAGGTTAGAATGAGGCAGCTGATATCAATGACAGTACTATTTATTTATTTATTTATTTGGTACTGGGGATTGAACTCAGGACATTGCACATGTGAGGCAGGTGGCGGCAACGCTGAGGTAAATCCCCAGTCCAACAGTGCTTTTTTGACTATTCATCTGTCAATGAACAAAAAAGTAATACAATTGATATCCTTCCTTGAACACTGCAAACTGTATACATTTATTGAATATCATACAAATATAAATATCATATTTCAAAATTATAATTAGGACTGGGACTATAGCTCAGTGGTAGAGCGCTTGCCTAGTATGCACTAGGCTCTGAGTTTGATACAAGCATTGAAAAAAATTTTTAAATGATATTCTTCTTTAAGGTGACCACAGTCAAAACTGTTATTAAATTCTTGTCAATTTTAACACTTAAGAACTTTTGTTATTACTCATAGTGTTTAATATCTTGGGATTAATAGAGATTTTTATTCTCTAAAATTTAATTTTTGATCTTTAGTAAAAGTGACCCTCTCCTAACGTTGATTCCAAACCATCCTAAGTTTGTTTCTGCCTATGAGGATCTAGTTAGGTTGAAGTTGAAAGAAAACTGTGTTATTTGTTGTCTGAAGCTATTGTGAGCTAGGTGAGTGGGATTAGTTTGCTATTTAAACTGACCATGTAAGTAGGAAAGTCATGTTTATTTTTTTTAATTTATTTACGGCTAAAATAAATTTTTCTTCAAAACTGGCATAAAAGTCAACCCCTTTTAAGCTTAAAATAGTTATTCCTAAATGGAGTTGTAGAATGTCTCTTTATATCTTCTTTCACATGATCAAGACTTACTGAGTTTCTACCACATAGTAGCCTAACCGGCAACCATTGAGAATTGTATGTGATTTGTTGTGAGAACTTTCCAAATTACCATATTTGCAAAATATGTAACTCATACTTTGACACGCAAAATCTTGAAGAAAAAAAAACTGGTTGTTTCATCCATGAATTGTGTCATTGAAATGGAAATTGACATGCATCATAACCTATTGTTTATGTAACTAAAGCTCAAATTCCTTCTTGTAAACTGGTACCCTTGACTCTAGCGGTCCCTTAGCACCATTCCATCTACCATTACCTTATGTACTTACCTGCCTCCCCATCAGACAATGCCTCAACCTGACACTCTCAATCCAGAATTTTTTTTTACTACTCATTTTTCCATCCCCCAAATTTATTTACTTGTTCGGATACTTCACCTCACAAAGCAGTCTTGCAATTATATCTGAAAATTTACAGGTCTTTGAAATTACTATCTGGCCTAGGTACAATCTTCAAATTTGGAAAAGAAGCTTGCTTTTTATGAATTCCATTTTTCCTATGAATCTGTGAAAGTGACATTGCCCAATCCCAGCGTAAAACATACAGTTGTTAATTAGGAACAGGATTAGAAAATTGTACCACAAGATCATTTAAAGGATGTTTTCACCACTTTATATAATGATTAAGACTGTCAGAATGAAATTCATTTGGATTCAGTTATTTTATATTATTTATAGAATTGTGCTTCCTTTTCACTACACAGATAGTATAGAATTAACTGTATTAAATGGTTTAAACTAAAGTTGTATCTTGCAAAATCACACTGTGATAGAACCTGCACTCTCAAATCCATTGCTTCTTTTGGCTTTAATTAAAATATTGTTGTTATTTGAATACGCCAGAACTAATTTACACCTTTGAAACTAGGATAAAACATAAAGGACAAAAATACTACATAAAAAAGGTTAAAATAGTCATACCATTTTGTATAAGACCCAAGATTCCAAAATTCAATATTCCTTTATGTTTAGGCTGACAGGTATTAATTTCCCAAAGGTATCTTTCAGTATCTTTGGAGGTGTTTTGTTTTCTTTATTCTACTGTTTCTTTAGTGGTGGTGTGTTAGATGCTTTTTTATTATAGAAACTACACATACATGTATCACTTCCTCTAGAGAGAACAGTTTTGTGTTTATTTTTCTAGCTTTTTTATAGTATATAAAACATACATTAAATTTTCCTGTGTTTCAAAAATGGTATTACACTGTTTCACTCAATCCTAGAATTTGCTATTTCCTCTTAAATGTACATCTTTGTATATCTGTCCATGTCAAAAAATACAAAGTAATTTTTTAGAAAATAGTCTTTAGATGAAGATATGCTCTTTTGCAAGAAGGGTCCTTGTAAAATTTTTCTTCATTTCTTGACTGCAGTATTCATTCATACCGCAGTTGCTGTTACTTAAAAAATTATTTCTTTCTTGAATGTAGTAGTTACTTCTTTGAGTGAATTAGTCAATAAGTGACTTTATTGATAGGATAATTAATTTTCAACATTTTTGAAGTAGGATTTCCTTTCAGATAAATTTTTGTTCTCAGATGAAGAAAATGACATCTGGCTATAAAAGAATACTACCCTAAATCCAATCTGTAATCTCTTCAGTGTCCTAATTGTTCATGATCCCAGGGATACTGTCTTCCTCCATGGTGCTTATTTCACTCTCAAAAGGACTAACACAAAGAATGGAGAATTACTGCAAGGATCCTTGTGCTAAAAGGGAAACTGAGTCTTATAAAAATCAAATACAGATATTGCTCTGTCACTTTTACTTCAGGGAAATTGGAACTCAAGAATTGTTTCAGTTCAGGGTCTGCCTAGATCAAATATAGCACAAATTTAATTTGGTTATTTTTCCTTTGTCTATTTCTCTCTCTCTCTCTCTCTCTCTC